GCGGCCGTGCCAGCGCCCCCAGCCACCTCCAGCCCCGGCAACCCAGAGCAGGTGGAGACCCCACTCTGCAAAGGCCACGGGGGCCCAGAGCAGATGCCCAGGGAGCTTGCGGCTCAGAAACACCAAGAAAACGCGTTATTGCACAAATTATCACATAAATAAAACTCTTTATTTACAAAAATCAACAACAACAACTATTCACCAAAAAAAAGACTCCAACAACAGCTATTTCCAAAAAGTCAACACCACCAACAACTATCTAGAAAAACAAACAAACCAACAACAACTATTTACAACTCTTCCTCTCTGTTCCTCCACTCCTCTTCCAAGGGTCCCGGATCTCTGCTGCCCCTGGAAGGAAAGCAAGCGGCACGGTGGTTTGGCGAAGGAGCAGCGCCTCTCCTCGCAGAGCTGGGGGGTCCCGAGCCGGCTCCGCGGCAGCAGCTGCTGCTTTGGGTTGGGGTTGGCCCCTATGGGCACTGCCTGTGCCACAAGCCCGGGACACGCTGGGGAGAGCGGGATTCTGCCGCCAGCACTGAGCCCCGGCTGGGCTTCGGGGGAGACTGGGCTTGCCCGGCCCTAAGGAACCTTCCCAAAGCAGACGGGGGCTCAGGGCAGTGCCGCAGTGGTGCTTCTGCCGCCAGGACGAGGGCACCAGACGCCGTGTCCCTGCAAGCAGGGACCACCCACCCCAGCCCCAGCCCCAGCCCCAGCCTGGGGGCAGGCGACCGTCCCTCCCTGCGGGCAGTGGATGGGGAGCACATGCCTGTGCTGCTGCTGGTCAGTTGGTCTCCATTGGTGTCCCTTCATCATTCCTCTCATCCACTTCCATTGCCTCATCCCTCATCCATTGCGTCTCCCACTCCATCTTTTCCTCCAGGACCGCATCCACCTCCATCTCCTCCATTGCCCAACACATGCTCTTGGCTGACAAATGATGTCCCACATCTCCAGCCTGGAAAGGGGCAGAGCAGGCACCAGCTGAGGCTGTGGCAGGACCCGGCTGCTCCTGGTGAGCATCCCTGCGGCAAGAGCTCGGGGCACCCGGGGCTCCCCTGGGGACAAG